TTTATGTTGTGAACTATTATATTATCTTCATTGATGTATTTATATTCTCTCTTGAGTAGTAACTAAAATATTATCTTTTGAGTTGGTTGCGTGTGAGATTCTTGAGCAATAACTTGTTGAGTTATTGTTTAAACTTTTGATCATTCATTTACAATTCATATTAGTTGTTTGATTTTTCAAAATCAATTGTAATCTCGGACAAGCAGAAGAAGAATAGAAGCATAACTAGGTAAAAAAACTAAATCCTAATGGAATAAGAGTATTGTCAGTAGGATTTTGCAGTCAAATTGGCGAGTAAGAAATTCTAAGATCCTAGGGTTAAGAGAACCAAACCATAATGAAGATTTCAATTTAACCATAATGTAAGATTTCAATGTTTGTTATAGATGACCGAAAATTGCTATGAGGCAAGTGGTCAACCATGCAACTAAACATGTCAAGTAATATGCAGCTTTAGAGTCCGAGTATCTATCCCACGAAGAAATGGCTAATATCCATTATGACATAAAAATATCTAGTTTACTAAATTCAAGAACCTATCTTAGCATTATCATAACTTTAGAAATTGAATTTTAAAATTTTAAGTAGCAAGAGAAAACAAAGATGTGATCTAGGAAACTGAAAAAAAGATATTAATGTTATTCAAGAGGGACGGGGCTCGTATTTTTGTGATTCATGTATTGTAAGTTTGTGAATATCTAGGTGTTCCCATACATGATAGTGGTCAACCAAAGATAAATTATTCTTCTTAAGCCTATGGCTAGGTCACAAGAAGAATAAGAAACCCATAAGTTTAATTTTGCTTAACATTACGACATTTCCTAAGATTCTTTTGATCTTCAATATTGTAAAACCCTAATTAAAATATGTCTATTCTACTAAGTTAATATGGTTAAACTATTCGTTACACTACGTAACCCGCAGAAGTCATTGTTTAGAAATAATTTCAACATCATAATTGTTCATATCACAAATAAGATAAGATCAAAAGCTTAACTCAAGAACTTGGATACATGAAAGCTCATAAAATGTTAAGGCGAAAACGTGCAAGAAAATCATGAAAAACTACAATCCCTACATCATAAAGGCACGAAAAAGTTTTAGTTACTCAAGAAAAAAAAAAGGAAAATACAAGGTATTTCATTGAAATCAATTAGGCAAGTAGCAATATAAAGTTAAAACAACTTACAACCAAAGCTTTCTTCACCACAAAAGTAGCTAGTCCCTCTCTTATATAAGCTCCTCCAAATAAAATAAAGAATAATCATTTATAAAACTTTCTCCTTCAAGGAAGAAGAAGAGTTTTGAGGGAAATCCAAAGAAAACTCCTATGAAGCAAAGCATAGCCTCCAACCAGCCAAAGATGTTTATTCTGGTTCAAAGTGGTGTGTTTATAGAGGTGACACTAGAAAAGTAAGAAAATTCCTTCCAAATTTGAATTCTATGTTGGGCACGAGTTCAAAAAGATTGGGCGTAAGCGTACTTATTTGTGGGTGTGATGCACAGTTTCTAGGGTTGGAATGCAGCATGAGCACTTTGACAATTGGGCAAGGTTGTACTGCAAATTAAGCGCTCGCACAACATGGTCTCTGTCTTGTGCATTGGTAGAGTTGAGGCCCGACACAGACGTTCTTTGGGCAGGCACAGGCACGGGCACGCTTCTTTCAATGACCTAGCACAGGAATGGTCCACTCTGGGGCATGGGTGTGCTTGTATAAGTCTCCATTTTTCTTCAAATTGACCACGTTTTTTTCTCTTGAGCAACTTAAACCCTATAACATGCACAAATTAGCAAAAGTACCCTTCTCAAGTGTCATAATATCAGTAAACATGTAATAACTAGGATAAACCTACAGACAAACTGTCACATATTTCATTCACATCAGTTATGTCTCAAAGAAGAAGAAGAAGAAAGTATCCCATATTGCTAACAACAACCATGAGAATCTAGTAAAGGAACTTATAATTTCACATAATCCAATTCAAAGAAGGTTTTTCCAGATTAGAAATAAAAAAATCATTAGTATTTACCTTAACGTCTTGGGAATCTTAGAAATTCTTTCAAAAATAAAAACTTTTGAATGAAACTGAAAGTAAGTAGACTAATACTTAATATATTTTATAAATTAATCATATTTCTTTTTGGATTAGTAGCTCGAACTCAAAGTCTGATTATTACTTGATCGAGACATGTACTTGCGTGATTAATATGTACATCATAGCACATTTGATCAAGCTTCCAACTGCTTTAATAGCTTAGGAAGTACTTGGACTAGTCAAAGTGATTACTTATTATAGTTTGAATGAATTATTTATAAATTGGGCGGATTAGACCTTGGACCATTTTGATTGAACTCATGAATTGGGTCTATTTTGTTTGAACCAAGTTTATACTTGCAAGGGATTCACAAGCGAGATATCCTAGTGTAAAGATAAGAAGCTAGCCTAATTTTGTTACCTTTGAAATTGGTTTAAGTTTGGTTAGCTCAGTAAAACCTATTAAAGTCATTACTGAGTCATCTGACCCATTTGCACAAATAAAATTAAAAGGTTTCAGTTGTAATTTCATTTAAACATCATTAATTTAGGTAGTTATTTAATCATATTTAGTTTTATTTTGATTAAATTTAATTGGCTTTTAGGTTAGTTTGAATAAGCTTCATCTTAATGGATTATATTTGGGTTAACATCATTAAGAGGTCAAATTTGGCCTTAATTGTTATGCGTTTAAGATTCAATAAAATTTGAAAGGTCTTCACCAAGCATTTAGCTAATTTAGATTGAATTAAGAATTTCCTTAAGTGTGTGTCACTCAAGATGAGTTAAATAGGTCACTAATGTGTCCGAGTCTATATGAGTTAAGGCATGGTTAATTTCTTGCCTTAATGATTCAAGGAGATTTATTAATAAACAATTAAACCCAAACTTAATATCCTTAAAAATAAATTTCATCAAACAAATTTATGCATTTACTTCTTTCTATTGAATAATTAAACCTTGCCTATTAAACCCAATCTTCTTGTCTTAAAGACTTACATTGAGTAGATATGACCCATGGAGACTTATATTGGTTTATTTTTAAGACTATCACGGCTTCAACTTCATAAGTATAGGTCTTCCATACAATGTGGAACCAAGAAACAAGGATTGTTTCAGTTTTATGTTTGGTCTACTATATGTTAATCACTAAGTAGTAAACTAAAAGATTTTAAAAAGGGGCCTCTATATTAAGATTTGGTCATAGCAACTAAGAATAAGTCTTTAGAACTCAACAAAATAAAGAAGTCAAAAATTATTCTTCTATAAGTTAAGAAAAACCACATCTCAAGTTAGTCATGACTCGTAATATTAAAATACAAATTAAGTCTTATTTTAAATTTCCAAACAGAATCTCAAATGATTAAATATTCTCTCTATGAACTTCATCATCATAACAATTTAATATAGTCCTATGGAAGCATTGAGAGTCTTCAAATATACTTTTTTATCAAAATAGATCAAATAAATCTTGAGAAATTACTCAATTAAAACTCATTGCAAGTACTTTACATTTTATTGCTCAAAACTTATTAGTACAACCTGGGTCATATGGTTCAATACTTGTGCAACTTGCATGTGTATACTCATTGAAAAAATGGAGCAATTCATATACTTAGCCTAAATGGATTGTCCCTTAGTTAACATGTGAATTGATTCAAATAATTAAAGCAACTATTTGAATCAATTCATATAGTTATCTTAAGTAGATTGGCCCTCATTTAACATGTCAAACTAATTAATTTCAGTCAAATTAAGTATACTCAGTTAAGTTCATTATATTATAATGTGGCACTTACTATCTAAACTTTTGCGCAAATCTAATGAAAGTTTTATTGTACTGTCAAAACATTGAATTAAACTCGATTAATTTTAAGGGTGTCAAATAGGGAGTGAGCTAAGTCTAAATTGGTTGATTCTAGACCAAAATAGTTAAACAAGATTAAAAACATGTAGTTTGAACAAAGTCATACTAAACTAACATATTCAAACCAAAGATTTAGTACAATCCTAATAAATATAGGGTTGAATCAAGTCCACATATGTAAATCAAGTCATCCAATCTATGGTTTGTACTTCAAGTTTCAATTAACATATAACATATCACCTTTTGTTTTGAAGGATCTATTTGGGGAAGCTTTATGCATGTGTTGCATTTCAGATCGCCACTGTAGTTCTATTTGAGGATGTATTTTTTTATCGCTTTTTATAATCTTCTATGGTGAGAAGCTGATTTTACAACAAGATATGTTAAAGTGCGGTATGTCACCTCCCAAAAGAGCCCTTATGGGTGGTGGGCAGCCCATGACTTAAATACTGCTTTTCGGCTCTACACCTAGCCAATGTGGGATTATTTGTCTGTGACATTCTCCTCCACCCAATCACGTGACGCCCTCGTCACGGATCGGCTCCACCGAGGGTCCCACTGGACCATGGAGAGTCCACACACCTGACAGGCAGTAATCTGCTCTGATACCACTTGTCACCTCCCAAAAGAGCCCTTAAGGGTGGTGGGCAGCCCAGGACTTAAATACTGCTTTTTCGGCCCTACACCTAGCCAATGTGGGACTATTTGTCTTTGACAGGTAGCTATAAAAGAAAATTATAATCTTCTATGGTGAGAAGCTGATTTTACAACAAGATATGTTAAAGTTTATAATCTTCTATGGTGAGAAGCTGATTTTACAACCAGATATGTTAAAGTGCGGTAGCTATAAAAAAATTTCTATCCACTTTTTTGAAAAGAAATTATTTATAATTCCCACAATAGCTTTTTTAAAAATTAGTTTTATCATAATATCTTCATAATTATATTTTCAAAAAGCTATGGCCACCCAAAACAGAGCCTTAATTGATTTAAGCTCAATTGCATAGTTAGGGAAATGCATCAATCTAAACATCATTGATATTGAAAATTATTCTTATGTGCAATTAGACTGGAAAAATTCATAGTTTTCACTCCATAATCAAGTATCTAATGTCCATTAATATAGCACCATAAATACATATCTTCAAAACCAAAAAAAAAAAACAAAAAAAAGAGGAAAACATTTCAAATACAAACCAAAGCATGTGTACCACCAAATTTAAAACTTTTTTAGCTATTTGATATTTGCAAATACAAATTCCTGATTTCATAGAAGCTGAATTCCGACTCCTTTCTCCCTCTACTCATTCAGGTATATCTTAAGGGTGATTTAAACAACGTTTCAAACTGATAACAAGATAACAATGACTATGTCTGACCATTCAGTGCAAGTTCCGCCAATCTTGCCCTCAGATCCTTCCTCAATATCTTGCCTGATGGCGACTTTGGAATAGCCTTCACAAAGAAAACCTTGTGTATCCTCTTGTAGAAAACCACCTACAAAAATCAATTATTTCACAAACAAACCTCAGGGCTGAGAACATATGGGAAATTTATAATTGGATCTAATAAATTAATCTCACAATTTTTTATTAATAAGCATAAGAGAATCCATTATTATTACCTGTTTTGAAACATATTTTTTGATTTCATCCTCTGTAATTTCATAACCATTTGACAACACTACAAATGCAACTGGAAGTTCTCCACATAAATCATCTTTCAACCTGATTGATAAAAAAAATTGAGATGCATAACCATCGAAGATTAATTTATAACTCAAAAATAAAATAAAATAATGAAATGAAAAATGTATATTTTTTATTTGAATTATAAAATATTATAAGAACTAAGATCAGTTTTCTCTCAAATTTAATTTGAGTCAATCCAAATTATCTCATTGGAAAATCACTTTTAATTAAGCAAAATTTGGATTAGCTTTAGCTCCATGAGAGGTTAAAACAAAACCAATAGGATAAGTTTAGTTGAAATCAAGGCCCGATTAAGCCACCTATAACCTCGCTTGTCTCTACTCATGATCAGATGCAAGCACAAACATTATAAAATTAGCAAATAAAAGTATTTTGCCTATAATAAGAATGAGCTAAAATAAAACTAAAAACTTACGAGACAACGGCTGCGCTAGCAATCTTTGGGTGGGTGATGAGCAGTGCTTCAAGCTCTGCAGGAGCTACTTGAAATCCCTTATATTTGATTAGCTCTTTCAGTCTATCAATAATGTAGATTTCATCATCATCATCAACATATCCAATATCTCCTGTGTGCAACCAGCCCTCTTTGTCAATTGTCCCTTCTGTGGATTCCACATCATTCAAATACCCTGAGAAAAACAAAATGAAAATTTTCAATATATTCAAATTATGCTCTCATTGTTGTACTCTTTGTAAATACATACTATTCATTTGTTGGGATATCTAATTATAGGAAGTAATTGATAAATTATATTTCACAATATGTAATAGAATCAACTGAATAAGTTAGTAAGACAAAAATATAGAAACTTGCAGAGTTAGGTTTCATTTTTCGAATAACATTTTTTGGTGGGGTTTATATTAAGACAGGATTTGGTGGAGTTTGTATTATTTTCATCATATTTTCATTACCAAAGAAAAAGAGAAAAGATACCTATGCCTATCCTTGGTGGCTTCCTCGTGGCCATGTCTTTACTGCATCATTCAGTTCCCACTCGGAATTTTTCAATGCAAGTTGTCGTTGGCACATTAAAGCAGCAAAAACAAATCGCAGGCCATTCACTGCTTGTGGGTCTTCAATTCTTCATTTTTGGTTTATGGAATTTAATTTCAAAATATTATATTCAATGTCAATTTTATAACTAGATATATACTGGCCGCATTTATTTACATGATAGTTTATATTATATTTTAAAAAACTAATGCATAGCAATTTATTGTAATGTGGTGTGACCCCTCATATTTCCATATAATTAGATACAAAATATTTAGAGTAAAGAATCAAAATAGTCCCCAACTAATTACATGTTGTCATTTTAGTCCAAGTGATTATAGAAGTGACAAAATAGCTCCACTTTTGCTTGTATTGTATCATTTGATCTACGTACCGGGAAAATAGCTCCACTTTTGCTTGTATTGTATCATTTGGTCCACGTACCAGAACTAATAACATTCGAGATTATGCAGGATTATACACGAAAGATCCTTTTTTGGCTCTCTCTTTTCCTCCACTGGCAGGTTTTTTGGAAAAACTCTATCTATTCTGGTGACTATTCTAAAATTGAGCACTAATAGTCTTTCACGAGAATTATTTCAACCTAAATTTAAAGTTCCTAAGAACAATTTATGCAATTATATAAGTTCGGACATTTAACAAAAAATATTTCATAAAAGTAATAACTTAAATAAATTATAAAATATAAAATAAACTATATTTTGTCTGAAAAAAGAAAAAAAGTCGCATAAAGAATTCATTTTTATTGAATAGAGTATTACATGGTCCAGATTTAATTCAATTGGCCCATTTGGTTGGTGAGGATGTTTGGGTTCCACCGTATTTCCCACCTACCACAAAATAATCTAATATTTGTTTAACTAGAACAATTATAAACTATTATTATTATTATATTCATTTTATTTTATTTTAATTATCGTTATTTAGTGGGTTCAATTATAAACTATTATTATTATTATATTTATTTTATTTTATTTTTATTATCGTTATTTAGTGGGTTGAAACTTTATTTAGATTTACCTCCTCCAACCAAAAATTAGCTCGGAATTATTTATTTAGAATTATCATATTATCCAATGATTCAACACCATTTCGTCCATCACCATTTACTGCTCATCCAAAAAAAGGAAAAATATTACATCAGGACTCCTAATATAGAGCTACGTTTAGAGTCCAATGAAATAACGTCATATATTACATCAGGACTCCTAATATAGAGCTACGTTTAGAATCCAATGAAATAACGACATATAGAGATGACAGAAAAATAAAAAAAAAAATCGTTTTAGCGCAATGAAATATTCTCTCATTGTTATTTCGTATTATTCAGGTGTTATTGTGGTGGTGTGTTAGTGTTATGAGAATATTTTCAATGTTATAATAACACAATAGCACATCAATACCACAACAATAAGACATGAATAACATAAAATAACACAGGAGGAATATTCTCCTGTTTTACCGGACCGGATCACAAAAAAAGGATAACAAGAAAACACGCTGACGCTGATTTCCTTGAAGTCACGTGTCCGCATATCAGTGGACTCCGAACGTAGCTCTACGTTAGGAGTCGTGATGTAATATTTTTCCTCAAAAAAATGATGGTAGTAAAAATGGGTTTTTTTATGGATTATTAAATAGGTTTGGTAGCCTACTTACTTTGAGTCTGCCACCTAATTTATAACTTCTCTCTTTCCTCAAAGCAGTTGGATAATTAAATTGTAGGTTAGCTTAATTGCAAGGCATTCCATTGAAAAAATATTATGTGGAGTCCGGATGTAGCATTATTCTCACTTTTTCTATGATTGTAATTTTTAAATTTAAAACCCCAAAAATAAAGTATATAGCACAAGATAAACAAACTCTTTCAGTGAACTACAAAAGTAATTATGATTATAAATCTAAAAATAATAATAGTAATTAAAAAATTAGTTTATTTAAATTTAACATCAGATAGTGAAGCCTAAATATTAAAAATAAAATTAGATTATAGATGAGGTACATGAAGCCGTAAATAAAATTTACCTTTCATGATCTGCTTTCCCTTGATGCAGATTTCTCCAGGTTGGTTGCGAGGCAATGAGGCGCCTGTTTCAGGGTCTATTATTTTCAGCTCAGCGTTTCTAACAACGGTGCCGCATGAACCTGACTTGTACTGGAATGGCTGCTTAGCAAAAGCCAAACACATGGAGAGAACCGGACCGGCTTCTGTCATCCCATAGCCCTGCAAAAATTCATTTTTGAATTATAACATTGTTATATAAACTTAGAAGCATTTTAGTCAAATATTACAATGACAACATATGTAAATTCAATCAAATTTCATGCATTTAGGTTGATTATGACATATTTAACATTGTCTGATTAATATGCTAATTAATTATATTTATTTTGGATCAAAAGTGCAGGAGTACTAGAAAATATAATATTGTATATTTTTTTATTATAAAAACAGCTTGCAAATTTTGTGTGCCGCACAATTTGTGATTAGTGGTCGCTAGCAAAACTCAAGAATATTATCTTATTTTGAACGTGCCAAACTACATCTAATTACATTATAAAAAGAAGACCAAACAATTAATTGATCTCTTTTAAATTTAAATTAGCTCTTAAAAATCTCAAAACAGTCGGCCATGTAATTTACCTTTATAAATTAATATAGCAACTATCAATCTAATTTACTAAAATTTTCATAGAATTAACTCTATAAGCATAATAATCTTAAATACATCATAATTATGCAGAATATTTATTGATATGATATTATTGAAGTTTATTTTATAAACACTATCCGTTAAATTTGTACCTGTCCCAGCTTGGCTTTAGGAAGCTTAGCCGTAAGCGTATCCTGCAAATCCTTACCCATCGGCGCCGCTCCAGACATCACCATCCTCACCGACGACAAGTCATAACCATCCACGGCCTCACTCTTCGCCATCTCTGCTACTATCGGCGGCACAAACGGCGCGACCGTAACTCTGGACTTCTCCACCAACTCCACCATTTTC